CTCCTCCTCCTTCTCCTCCTCTCCCTCCTCTCACGCAGCTGGGATCACGGGCGATAGCGGGCGATCTTTTGTTCACTCGCGGCGAGGGCTAGGACGGGCGTTATGGGGAGGGGTAGGGGAGGGGGCGAGGGGGAGGCTTGGCGGAAGACCCCCCCAACCCCGGCCGTGTGGGTTCGGCACCACGGACTGTGGTACCAGACGCACTGCGGCAGTACCAGGGCAGGATGCAATTATGTCAATATTCACTGCATCTTGGAGTTCCGGGCTCCCTTCCCCCAAACACTCAAGGCGCAGTGGATACGGACACAACTCTTGCCCCAAAAGGCTAGAATGTTATGCATATCCACTGCGCCTCGGCGTTGTGGCGCCCCTTCCCAGAAGGGCCAAGACGCAGTGGATACGGATATCAATATTGCCTGCATCAGCGGGGTTCGGAGCTCGAGGTATTCGGACGTTTTCGTCGGTCATCGGCGGGTTTCCAGGCTCTGGAGGAGAAGGTGCCGATGTCGCTACTTGGATCACTGCAACTATAGAGAGTCGAGGTGTTTGGTCGTTTCCGTTGATTCTCGACAGCTTTCCAGCGGCTGCGCTTCTCCGAGGGAGTCCGAGGGTTGCCCAGATCGTCCCCGGACGGACTCCGAAGATGCGAATTATGCCCAGAAAAAAAAAACGAAACACATCGATCACCGCGGATATTTGCTACGGCGATAGGGCGGTTATACGCGGATGCCAAGATGGGTTACATCTGGCCTGACCTAGCTTATGGGTGGGGTACACATGCCCTGAGCGGCTTGGGTGGGTTCGCTAACACCGCTAAGTGAGCGGAGCCCACTTCGCCCAGACCCTGACCCCCCTAAGCCACTCTGGACACTTCTAACCCACTCAAACTCTACGCTTGGCCAGATACAACCCACCTCGCCATCCACACGTAATTCCCTATCCGCTTCCGCTTACCAGCTACCGCGGTGATCCAAACACGCAGCGGCATCTATACCTGTACCTCCAACGCATTGGAAAAAGCACGGCGGAGGTCTCTTAGTGTTCGGCCTCCCTGGTCCCTCACAGGTCACAGGAGCCCAGGACCGTCAATAAACAACTCGGTGTGAAAAGGCGGTCCTGGGGAAGCGGTCCAGACCTCTGGGGATCCACGTTACGAGCACATCACGTCGTCGGATGTTTCAATCTATACGCCACCACCGTGCCTGGCCAGCGCCGTGTTGGGAGCTGGGATGGTGTACGCGCCCTCGAGGTCGGCCAGAAGGGGCTGGCCGATGCCCGTCAGCGCTGACCCCCGTCGCGCGAGTTCCGAAACCAACCCAAGTCCGCTCCAAATCCGTCCTCGGACCTCTCTCAAGAGACCATCTGGTGCAATTATCCCCTGGACCCGTTTTTGTTGACGGTCCCAGGGCCCGATCGCGGACCCCGGGGGCGGAAAAATGTAAACAAAAACCTCCTAAATGGAGCCGAGGCCAGGAGGTCGGTTTTCAGCGTATCAGGGTCCGAGATGGCTCTGACCGAGCACCGTGGTGGTGTAAAGGATGCATTCAACGGCTCGTCTGGCAGAGTCCCCGGTAGCCCCCACTGGCATGGCCTGGGGGCCCCCCCTGGCCGACCAACCCCCCTGGATGGTGATACGTGTGTGTGTGTGTAGGTGTGTAGGTGTGTGTGTGTAATTGTGTGTAAGTGTGTGCGTAAGTGTGTGTGTGTGTGTGTGTGTGTGTGGTGCTCCATCCGGGCTTCGCGGGATTCCTAAGGCTTCGTCGGCATTCCCAAGGATTCCAAGGGCTTCCTGTGGATTCCTGCAGTGAATTCCCATGGGTTTCTGTGGACTCTTGAGGATTCTTCTGGATTCCTGGGCATTCCTAGAGAATCCTCTGTTTTCCCATCGATCCCTAAAGGTTCATCGAGATTCCTCAGGATTTCCAGGGATGCCTACTTATTTCTAGGGATTCCTCGGATCTACAGCTAGATACGATGAGAACTCGTGTGCTAAGAAACCTTGGGGTAATTCTTCGATCATAGTTTTGGGGGGTCCTCAGATGCCCTGCAGCTTCTGTGGGTCACTGCTGGGGCCGTCGGGGGAAAAAATCTATGCTTCTGTGGGGCACCTCTTGGAAGGCCGACTTCTGATTCGTTGCGTCTGCCGCATCGCCAGCTGAGGGCGTGGGCGGGTGGGGTTGATATACGAGGTCCACATGGGGATAAAGATTTGCCAGACGATTCTTAACGGGCGAAGAACGGTATCAAATAAACGGTTTCGCTGTCGGGGGCGCCTGCCCCTGGGCTGTTGGTAAGTTTATAATCTTACGGTGGCACCGTCGGGGTGTAAACTTTCCAGCCGCCCGGGGACAGGCGCCCCCGACAGCGAAACACCTTATTGTATACCGTTCTTCGCTCGCTGAGATTCAGGAGCGGCGGACGTATCCATCCCCACGCCTCCGCGGTCTGGCCCCCTGGGCGCGATCCCGTGAATACTGAAGGGGCCCTAGGACACACAAATTCGCCGGCCCAACGGGCCAGGGCGTGCTAAGATCTCCGGCACCTGGTTAACAATATTTCTAGTTCGCGCGCGCGGGGTGGCCCCTGGGGGTCCCCGGGCGACAAGTACCCCGGCAAGGTCCCGGCAAGTCCCCGGCAAGGTCGGGTCAGAGATGCCGGAATTCTGTTTCGGAGTCCAAGAGGGCTCCAGATCGGTCCAAGAGGACCCCGAGAAGCTTTCTAGACGGTCCAAGAGAGGCCCGAGACGGCCAAAGATCGCCCGAAGACGCCCCAGATGGCCCCAAGACAACCCAAGAGGCCTCCAAGACGCTCCAAGGGCCTTCCAAGAGGCCTCCGAAGAGGGCCCCAAGTTGCCAAAATCGTTGATTTTCATTGGTTTTTTCGATGTTTTTTGCGTTCTGGCCTTTTCGCTTCCGGACGCTCCAAGAGGGCCCAAGAGGCCTTCAAGACTGCTCCAAGACGGCCCACGAGGCTCCCAAGACGGCCCCGGAGCGGCCCAAGAGCGCCCCCCAGACGGCCCAAGTGCTGCCCAAGGCGGACCAAGAGGCCCCAAGACGGGCCCAAGAGGGGCTCAAGAAGGGAACCGAAGACTGAAAAATCTACCCCTCCGCCCCAGAAGGCGCCCAGGACCCCGAAAGAGGCCCCAAGAGACTCTCCAAGACACCCCCAAAACGCCCCAATAAGCTCCCGTGAGGCCCCAAGAGGACCAACAACGTCAGGCCCCAGGCCCCAAGAGGACCAACAAATACCGCCAAGAGCCCGCCGAAAGCCCCTAAAGAGACCGTCGCGAGAGCTCAGGAGGCCCCCATGGAGGCCTCCCGAGTTCTCCAAGAGGCCTAAAAAGAGGCGCCAAGAGGCCCCAAACGGCCCCACCGAGGCTCCAAGAGGCCACGAACGCGCAAGCAAACGCCTGCGATGGCACAGTACGGGCCGGCGGAATGAGCGAAGCGATTAAATAAATACACACAAATAAAAGGATTCCCCATATTTTCCCATACTTTCTGGGTTCCTGTCTCCCCCCCCACTTCCCATATTTCCCCAGATTTTCTAGGGAATCGACGATTCATTGTGTCTGTGCGTTTTTTCCCCTCCTGAAAAATGCGGTCGCACGGATGCGCTCCGCGCGGGGGGCACCTGCGAACAAAAAGCGCCGCCGGAGCCGCGCGCGACCGCGGGATCCAGGGGCCCGGCCCGCGAGGCCGCGGGCTCGCACACGTGTGCTGGGCGGCGCGGACAAGGGAGGAGGACGAGGACGAGGAGGAGGAGGAGGAGGAGGAGGAGGAGGAGGAGGAGGAGGAGGAGGAGGAGGAGGAGGAGGAGGTGGAGGAGGGAGGGGGAGGAGGGGGAGGAGGAGGAGGGGAGGAGGAGGAGGAGGAGGAGGAGGAGGAGGAGGAGGAGGAGAGGAGGAGGAGGAGGAGGAGGAGGAGGAGGAGGAGGAGGAGGAGGAGGAGGAGCGAACGTCGCCTGAGAGGGGCGAGTTCGTCCGAAGGCCGAGCTACGGCGCGCCCGCTCCGCCCGACAGATCGGCAGGCAGCTTCAGAGCATGGCGCGCGGCGGCTATGGCGGTAGATTGCTTCGGGTACGACATCGGCACGGCATCATCTTTGGTGAGGTGGTAGGCTCGTGTCGCCACACCGGAGGAGGAGGAGGAGGAGGAGGAGGAGGAGGAGGAGGAGGAGGAGGAGGAGGAAAGGCCCCACGTGTGTTGGGTGGGGCATGGGGGAGGGGGCAGGCTCCCGAGGAGGGGGGCTGCTTCCTCTGAGGCGCGCTCTTGCGCCCACAGGGAAGGCCCACGTCTTCCAGGAAGCGGGGGTGCCTCTGAGAAGCCTTCCCCCGCTCTCCGCTGGCGTTTTTAGACCCACAGAGAAAGCCCACGTCTTCTAGGAAGCACGGGGTGCTTCTGAGAAGCCTGCCCCCGCTCTCCACCGAGGACACCAAAACGCACCGACGCCGCTGCTGCCCGGAGCTCTCCGGGGGTGGGCTCGGGCCAGAATCGTGCGAGGCGAATCCAGCGGTGCGGCGAGGGCCTCCCAGGAGGCCCCGAGACAGGAAGATGGGGCGAGGGGGTTCTGTATCGGGTACCTTTTCCTCCTCTGCTCCTCTGCGCTTGGGCGATGTTTTTCGCCCACCATAACCAGACTCGAACCGTTCCCCAACCCTAGGATCGGGAGGCCAAAATCGATGATAGTCTCAGGGATGTCCCCTCAGAAACGGAGGTAATCCTTGAGATCGGCACCGAGGGAAAGTGATGGCAAACATAGGGGTTAGGATATGTGCCAAGCCGGTAACACCTGACGAACCAACAACACACACCCATACCCATTGGGGGATCGGAGAGAGCTATGGGTGCGTGTTGTCGGATGGGGGTCCCCGCTCGAACGGGAGCGTTCCCCAAGGTACGACAACCCGCACCCATACCCATAGCCAGTCCTCCTCCCAACGACCTCCCTATGGGTATGGATGTGTGTTGTTCGTTCGTCAACACCAGCGGTGCCGAGCTCCTGGTCGAACGGCGCCTTCTCCAGCTCCTCCCGCAGCTGCGCGGCGAAGGAGCGCTTGCCGCCCGCGCCGGCCGCCGGCCCCGCGGCCTGCCGCTCCTCCTCGGAGTCCTCGCCGGAGCAGGAGTCGTCGATGTCGTCGATGTCGTCGATGTCGTCGTCGTCGTCGTCCGCCATGGGCGTCTGGCGGGGTGCCCCAGGTTCTGGGGGGCGCGCCGCGGAGGAGGAGGCGGCCTCGAGCGCGCAGGGGCTCGAGCCAAGACTCCAGGCGCAAACGGCAACACACACACACACGCACACGCACACGCAGACAAACGCACACGCAGACACACGCAGACACACACACACACAGACACACACACACACACACACACACACACACACACACACGCAGACACACACACACGCACACACACACACACGCAGACACACACACACACACACACGCAGACACACACACACACACTTTTTGGCGTCGCTGCCCTGCACGCAGCGACTGGGCGGAGAAGGTCGAACAGAAAGTAAACACGCGCGCGGGCGCACGCACCACACACACAAACACACAAGCACACACACACAAACACACACACACACACACGCACACACGCACACGCATACGCACTCGTACGCGCGCGAGCACACGCACGCAGGCCGTGGGAGGCTGAAATATGTAGCACCCCGCAGCTGCAAATCACAGTGAGGGGGCTGCGGGGTCGTCGGCAACCTGCGAGGCTCTGAAGAAGCCCGCCGCAGACGCCGATTTACACACACTGCACAACGAGTCCGCCACAGGCGCCGAATTTTCGTCAAAGCAATGTGGGTGGGTCGCAGGTGGGTCGCGGAGTTGGTCGCGGGGTGTGCTGTGCGCTGGATCGCAGGGTGGGTCGCGGGGTGAGTCGCGGGCGAGGACGACAACAGCAACAACAAAACCAGCAACAACAACAACACTTACACCACCACCACCACCAACAACAACAACAGCATACGCAACAACAACAACAACAACAACAACAATAATAACAACAACAACAATAACAATTACACTAACAAGAGCACTATCATCAACAACAACAACAACAACAATTAGCCTGGCGAAGAGCCCAATCAGATGCAATTGTGAATACCGCAATTGTTGGTATCGTCTTCCGTGGAGCTCCTTCTGGGGCCACGAAACGCTGCACTGGGCGGGGGAACCGCACGCGAATTCCGCCACTGAGACCTTCGGTGGAGCTCGCTATGGGGCCACGAAGCGCTGTACTGAGTGGGGGAACCGTATGCGAGAGAGACCAAACGACGGGTGGTGCTGCAAATGATCGTGGCAATAACGAAGACACGCTCGAGTCGCGCGTGGTCCATTGCGAACGCCGTGGGCGACCCTACCATTCTATCGTGCAGCATGCAGCGCTGGAGCCCTTAAGGCTGTCTGAAAGAGGCTGTCATTCTTGGCCAGCCTGCCCTCGACCCGTCGAATTCGGAGAAGTGAGCGGCGCGATGATCACAAAAGAGCTCGCGCCGCGCGAGGACGAGGACGAGGGCGAGGAAGATCCACGTGTAGGGGTCTGGAGGACAGATTGCGACCGAGGCAGGCGCTCCTGGGCAGCGACGAGTCGCAGCGAGGACCCACCGCGGATCCCAATCAGCCGGGCGAATGGCTTCAGCCGTACGGGGGGTCGGGTGCGCGCCCGGGAGAGCAACACAAACCTGTCTGAACACAATCGCCAGAGGGAGGGAGAGTGGGGCAGGGGACTCGAAATACCGCGAATGTTGTTGCTAAGGCGACAAGGGGGCTCTAAGTGTACGACAACGAATGAGCCCGTGTTGCGACGCCGGAAGCTCGTGACGCTCCCGGGGGCCTTTGCCCTGAGCGCGAAGAAATATCAACGAAAACGATAAATAATCCACTATCAAACCTCCGATGCGAAGACTTGGACGCGGAAGCGCACCGGGGGGGAGGAGGAGGAGGAGGAGGAGGAGGAGGAGGAGGAGGAGGAGGAGGAGGAGGAGGAGGTGGGGGTAAAGGTTCGGGCTCTGTGGACTCCGCATACGTGGCGGAGATATCGAACCACCCAAACCACGTAGAGCACTAGCAGCCCTCTTATAGGCTAGGGCTGACCTCACATAAACCACCTTGGCATCCACTTATCCCCCCCCCCCCCCTATCCCTTTAGCAACGCCCGCGGTGATCCAAGGAGGGCGTGAGACATTGGGCTGTCCACTCCCCCCTTGGTTCTCCCGTAGCTCACACAGATTGGAAAAATCCCGTTGGCCCTTCCCCCCTCCCCCCGATGGGAACGAGATACGAGCCCCTCCGAGGGGGGGGGGGGCTACGCCGTAATGGGCCCCGGGAACGGCAGGGCCGTTTGTTCACCGTTTCCAAAAAGTCTCTCTTTTGAAAATGGAAGCGGCAACAAAAACTGCGACCGGAAACGGCAACAAAGCTGCTCCAATATTGGAACCGGAGCTGGAACCAGAAAAACAACGGCGACGGAACCGGCAAAAAATGGCGTCGGAACCGGCAACAAAACGGCAAAACGGAACCGGTACAAAAATGGCCCTGTCGTTTCCAAGGCCCACTAATGGCTACGCGCGAGCTCCTCAACGCACTCCCATGGCCCCCGGATCCTCCAAAGTCATCCTCCGACACCCCCAGCATGCTTCAGAACCCCTCGAGACGCGCCAGGGAGGCCCTGGCACGCGCGGAAGCCCACAAAGAGCCAACCATGCCCAACCACCTCGAAACAGGAGGGGCGAGCAGGGGTGGTGTGGGAAGGGAAGGGTGAGGAGGGGGGGGGGTCGGAAGAGCAGACGCCTGCTCCTGCGAGTTGGGCTTGCCCGCTCGCGCGAATTGGGCCCAGGGCGGGCGCAACAGCAGCGGAAGGGCCGGGAGCCTCCTATGGAGGGGCCCGCTCCACGCCTGCTGCTGCTGCTGCCATTCCGTGCACGTTAGCAGAGCTGAGACGGTAGAGGACGCCAACCATACATTGCCCCAACGAACCTGGTCAGGCCCGTCCTGGGCCCACGACCGGTGTGCGGCAAGCTCCTGCCTTGACGGCGCGGGGCTAAGCTGGTTTCAGACAGAGCGTGAACCGTGTAAATGTTGAAGGATATATGCCCCCAGGAACCCCTGCAGGCCGCCGACACCATCTTACGTGTTCGGGGATCTACTGGCCAAGGACAGTGCAAGCCAGAGTCAGTCAAGCCTGGCAGGATCCTGCAGGATCCTGCAGGATCACGCGCGCAAGCCGGGGGTCAGGGCACCCCTGGCTCTGCAAAATCCTGCAACATCTGGCGCTCTGGCTGACACCCATTTGCATTGACTCCCATCGCAAGGCTCCCGACTTCCGTGTGGACTCACGCCCGCGCCAGCGTCGCTGCCGCGTCGAGGTGGCGCAGGCCCGAATCCGTGCAGAACCAGAACTCCGCCCATCCCGGCACAGTTTCTGCGAGCTGCGCCCTGCGGTTTTGCGGTGGCGGCGAGGACGCCCTGCGAAGGCCAAGGAACGAAGAGGAGGAGGAGGAGGAGGAGGAGGAGGAGGAGGAAGAATAGGAGGAGGAGGAGGAGGAGGAGGAGGAGGAGGAGGAGGAGGAGGAGGAAGGAGGAGGAGGAGGAGGAGGAGGAGGAGGAGGAGGAGGAGGGGGAGCGTGCTCAGCCGTACGCGCCCCCTCCCTCCCCGCCCAGCCAGGGAGGCGCGCGCACGGACCGTGGGCCAAAGCCGAGCGCACATGCGGCGGCCCTCTGCGGCTCGGGTTTCGGGGCTCTCGGGGGGAGCGGGCGGCAAGGCGAGCGCGGCGAAGAGGGCGAGGGGAGCGACGAGGGCGACGACGAGAGCGACGACGAGGGCGAGGGGGAGGAGGGTAGGGAGAGCCAGGAGGGGTAAGGAGGGCGACAACGGGAAAAGGGAGGACGAGGAGGAGGAGGGCGACGACGCACAAAAGACGCTACCCTGGAAAACCCGAGGGTTGGGGGAGAGCGCGGGGAGCGCTGCGCGCTGGGTAGGCACGCGCCCGCGGGGGGGGGGCGAGCGGCGCACTCGTCGCTCGCCGCTCCCCGCGGGAGCGCGCGGGTGCAGCGACACCCCGCGCCCCACCCCAACCAAAGGAGCGGCGAAGGGTGAGGGGAAACAAAAGCCGCCACGGCGGCCCGCGACGCGCGCACCGAGGGCGCCAGCCTCGCGTTCGGCCGACAAGCGCCCTCGGGGCAGCGCGCGCGACGCGGGGGTATATTTACCCTCCCCCCACCGCAGGGAGACGTGGACAAAGAACACGAACAAGACGAGGAACACGAAGTCCATGAAGACCTGAGGCGAGCCACCCCAAACGCACCCCCCAACCGACCCAACCCGCCCCACCACAGGCACCGCGGCGAACCGCGGCGCCAGCGGCGGGGCGGCAGGGGTAGAAGGTTCCCAGGTCCGCGTTTTTGTGACAACGAACAAAACTGCGTTGTGTTCTCGCCCACAAAAGACGCTACCCTGGAAAACCCGAGGGTTGGGGGAGAGCGCGGGGAGCGCTGCGCGTTGGGTAGGCACGCGCCCGCGGGGGGGGGCGAGCGGCGCACTCGTCGCTCGCCGCTCCCCGCGGGAGCGCGCGGGTGCAGCGACACCCAAGGCCCTTGCTGCACCTGCGCGCGAGGAAAACCCAACGCTGTTCTCGCCGAAGGTGTTCTATAGGCTCACAGCCACCTCAGTCCTTGTCTTCGTCGCTGGACGAAGCGCCGCCGTGCGCTTCCCTGACGGCGCTGTCCTCAAGCGCATCCCTGTCTAAATATGACAGGAAGGCGGCGGACCGCCAATCTCCGGCGCGAAGGATGTCGGCCAGCCGCGAGCCACGCACCGCCATGTCTTGGGCGTGGCCCCGACGAAAATCGTGGGTGCGATAGGCATCGTGCCGCGGCACCCCGAGCTCTTGCAGGGCCGCTCTCAACGCCGATAGGACAGCGTCCGGGCGGAAACCCGCAAAAGGCTGCTGGGCCGCGCTGTCGGCGCAGAATTTCCCCAGCGCGTGCACGGGGCACGTTGATGGACAGCGCGCGCACCAGCACGTGCGCGTCATCGTGAGCGGCGTGGCGCGATTCTTGCGCCAAAGCAACGTCAGCGAGATCGAGCCGTCATGCAGGCGTAGGCAGCTCTTCGGCTCGACCGCCCGCGGCGGATCGCCGTCCCGAGCGACGTGCATCGGCAGTGCTTCCGACGGCAATCGCAACAGGAATATGTACGCCGTCAAGAAAAGCATCTGCAGCTCGCGCCCCGATTGGTGGCGTTCGAGATGCTTCAGTAATCTGGCGAGGAGCGCCTCCCGAATAAACATCTTGGGCCTGGCCTGCCAAGTGTTTCGCGCTTGCACCGCGCGAGCCGCGCGCTCGACTGCCGGGTCGCTCAGCGCGTCCAGCGGGACGCGCAACAGGATGCAGACTAATCTGACGTGCGAAATATAGTTGTCGAATGTTCCTTTACAACGGAAGCATGTGCTCCACAATGCAAGGCCCTCGGGCGACGGCGGAATCACTTCCCCCGCGTCGCAGCCGAGCACGGTCATGGCGAAAGTCGCCCAGCAGCGGAAGGCGCTGACTACGCTGGGCCACGTTTTCGGGCAGCTGCCCAGAATCGCGGCGACCCGAGCCGAATTCGACCATTCGCTGAAGCTTCGCTGGGCGAGGCCCTGCCGCAGGGCCTCGACTTCACGGCGGGGGCCCGCGCGCGGCTCGATGGTGCACTGGCGCGCTATGCTGACGGCCAGCTCAAGGTCCCGCACAGCACCGCAAGCCGCCGAAAGCTCATCGCACTTGGCAGCTCGCCGCCTGGCAGGGCGACTGCGGCTGCGGCACTCGCGCTGATGCACGTCGGGTGCAGGCGGAGGTTCGTCCTTTGCGCCGCGCACGACGGCAGATGGCTTCTTCGCTTCGTTAATTAACTCTGACAGCGCTACGCGCAGGGCGTCAGGGCTGACGCCTCGTTCCCCTTCTGCGGCAGACACCGGTTCGAACCAATCGACGCGCGCTAGCTGCAGATCTCTGAGATGCGTTATGTCCTGGCGCCGCAGCAACTCGATCAACGCAAAGGTAACCATGGGTGAAAGCTCTGGCAGGACGCCGCGGACCTCATGAAACAACGTCATGGCTTATCGCTCGACTGAGCGCCCGTCGCTGGCTGCGCTGGGACCGCGCGCTGACGCATAGGACAACCGACCAGGCGCCCATCGATGGGGCCGGTTAACGACGCAGCTTCCACTGTCGGCTTTTGGCATCAACTCGCGCGGGCCGCCCTCGCAAGGCACGCGCGAGGCATGGCTCGCAACGGGCTCGACGCGGGACAGCGGCTCACTCGCCTTCGTTGCTTCGTGCCGCCTTCGATGCGCAACGGCGCTCGCGGGGCGCGACGACGCGCGACGGCGCGCTCCCGCCGGCAGAGCGCGGGCCAGAAACGTCTCCGGTGCGAAGAACTCAGCCGCGCGTAAGCGCGGCGTCACGAAGTTCGCCCCAAGAACACGTAGCAACTCGTACTCCTCCCGCGACGGAAGGTCGGCGATGTTCTCTGCTGATGGGACCCGCGCAAACCACGGCGAACACCGGGTGCGTGCGATGAGGAACCACATGGCGTGAATGATGCGGGAGTGGTCCCAAGCGGAAGCGCGACCGCTCCGCACTGCCCCTTCTGCGCCCACATTGTCGGACCAAATCACCACTCGGCGGTCCGCCAGCAGTTCACTAAAGGTAGCTAATCCCAGCGCTATAGCGAGCAGTTCTAACGCCATAATCTGAGAGTCCCGGCGCGGCGCCAAGTCCTCCAGCAGCTCCTGGTCTGGAGGGGCGTCGGACCAGAAGGCGCGACCATCGACGAACAGCACGGCGGCGAGCCGTGGATCGGACCCGCCCCTTGCGTCAGCGAACAAGTGCACTTCTTGCCGTTCCAGCTGCGCCCACGGCTTGGACTGATGGATGCCGAGGGCCAGCACCTCCGCCCACCATGACAGCGCCAAGTTGAGCGGGGCGCGAACGACACCCCGTCGCGCATTCTGCTGCGCGAACAGGGGCTGCAACATCGCACGCCCTAGCCGCTCGAAGCAATGTTGACCTGCCCAGCTGAGAGCGCCGGCCAGCTTGCTGGCTTGGCCGGCACATAGTGTCCCGCAGTCGAGCGCTTGCTTGATCAAGAAAAGCCACTTGCGCACCTTCTTGGGCGCGGGAAACAAGTTGATCCCGCTGAGAGAAAAGGACACATGCAGGCCCAAAATCTCCAGCTCGTCGCCACATTCCAGCTTCTTATCGGAAACCGCTCCTGGACCTAGGAGCAGGCGCACTAGTCTGGCCAGCGATGCCATGGTATGCTCTTTAGTTGCGGGTGCGCACGGCCCAAAGAAATCGTCCACGTATCGGAGGGTGGGAATCTTTAAGAGCTTGCGGGCGAGGTGCGCCAAGGCAGCTCCGACTCGGTCCCACCCAAAGACGGCAGCCAGGGCGCCGAACATCAACGCCAGGTGACCAGTGACCCAAATGTCTCCGTCGTGCAAATACGTGCTGTAAGCTGCCCACCTGTGGCAAGGCCGACATCGACACCGCAAACGCCGGGTTCCTCTGGAACCCCGACACGAGCCCCCAGGTCGATGCTTTTAACGGGGGGGGGCACCCGGAAATCCCGAGCCTGTGTTCAGGAGCGATAGGCACACGCCGGTAAGCGGAGTCGATGTCAGCCTTAAACAGTGCCGGTGCGTGCCCGCGCAGACCGTGATAGCAGCGCAGGGCGTCCACCAAAACGTCAGCCCCGTCCAGCAACAACCTCTCGGCGGGCTGGCACGCCGAGTTGATGCCCCCTCTCGATTCATCGTCTACTACGCGAACCTTGGGCGCGCCATCCGGCTTGACGCCCTGCACAATGGAGAAACGCGGGGACAGACGCACCCTGCCCAAGTCCGCCTTGGCCAGCACAACCGGAGCGGTCATCCGCGACAGAGACGCATCGGCGAGCGCGCCCTCGTGGATCGCAGACGAGTTCACGTCCT